AACAAAAATAACAATTCCTGCAATATTACAAATCTGGACTCTGGATAAGGACCAAAAAGTCCAGGACAAACGGTCTGGCCGGTGGCCCGGCGCCTCTCTCCCACACAGGAGGCAGTCTCCTGCCACCAATGCTCTTTGATTCCTCTTCACAGGTCAGATAAGAAGTAACGAAGACCACTCTGAGACTTTGTAGACTTGTACTGTGAGGGTCCCCCCTCATCTTCCTGTTGGCCCATCTGTTAGCCACCGGCCTACCTCAGCACAGCTTCTAGAAGTCAAAGCAGAGATAAAGCACTGGAACAAATCAGAGTGAAAACTTGGGCAATCATGCTATGCAATTGCTGAATTAAGTGGATAGGCATGTTGAACTGAATCTTTTCCTGAAGGGGACCAAACAGAACCTTCTTGGTGGATAGATGTGTGCACGCCCACACACATGCCTGCACACGTGTGTACTTGTGTGAGGAGACACCCATGGCACCTGTGCCAAACTCACCATCCCAACAGTGGTGCTGTATTACTAGTTCCTTTCCAGTGGGTAAGGCTGAGGACAAGAGTGGAAAGATGAGGCCCCACACTAGGTCACTGACCCCAGTTAAAGAAGTCCTAGTGCCCAATAGAATGGTGGAGAAACAAATGAAATTTTTAAAGTCTTTTAAAAGTTTTTTTACTATGAAATAAGAGCATGGCCTGCAGGGATTTTTCTGGATAAAATAATGTCATTCCTTCCTCAACATTTTGCTGCATTGGAAACTAGATGGCAAGTCAAAACTGTATACCCAGAGAGAGAGGAATGATCATCTAATCACAACGGAAGTAATTTGCAGAAAAGACTTGCCACCATTTTCAGCAACTGAACTGTAACAATCCAGGTGGCCAGAGCTGCAGGCCTGTGAAAGCCTTCAGTCTAAATTGTTTGAGCTTGATACTGACAAATGAGAGGGATTAGGTGCTGTCAGGTCAGTACCTCGCTCCCGGGGATCATCAGTCATGCCAAACTGCATTACTGTGGTCTTAGATGAGATCAGACTAAGAATAACAGCAACCTGATCGCCTGTCTCCACAGATGCAAGATAATTGCACTTAATGCTTTGTCTCATGATGTTTTCATGCTCTATTTTTGCCTTGAGGTGCTTATGTAAAGGACCCACTGAATCAGCTGTGCATAGTTAGGGAGCTTCAGCATAACAGATTTGTTTGTAGTGCTCTGAATGACACTCTGCAAAGTCAAAGCAACTGAATGTAAGCAGTAATCTCACTCTATAATAAAAAAAAAAAAAAATCCCTTGGCATCCACCTGAGCATCACTCCTGAGAAAAAGGCAAATAAGAGAGCAGTTACTTCATAATAAAATGAGCCTTTCGGGGTTTGCCAGATTCTGGCAGGGAAGACATCCAACCTTTTCAAAAGTGATTCACACATTAAAACTGCAAAATGCTATGGGATTAAATTATTGAGCATAGGCTTGTCTTTCTGCACCTGCCAGTGTATCAATATACTTTATTCTACTGTAAATCATTATCAACATTTAAAAAAAAAAAAAAAAAAGAAATTATCATCCAAGGTGGGTGGGCTGTAATTTTGGTGGTTAGAAAGCATGACTTTACTAAGAAAAAGGCACATTTGCAAAATTTTTTTTTTGCTAAATTAGAAATAGTAAATTTTCAAAGGGAGTTTCTGCAATTGTTTCAAAGGGGTTGCATCTACCACTATATTGGGCAAATAAAGAGGTAAACAACTTTCTTGCCATTTGCCAGAGGGATGGGAGGGGGAGGGCTTGAAAAAAGTAGCTCATGAGATGGAAGCCTGTCATTATCATATGTAAGCATCTCTTGCATTATTGCCAATGTTAATTGAAGAATGAGTAGGGTTTGGGTTTTCTAGGCACCCACACCCATAGGTATGCTGGTGCTCACCAGTCACGACAGGGGCAATGCCTTAAAGAATTTTTATATTGTAGTGTAGTTGTCTCAGTGTTTTTCCTAATAGGTGAGATGTGGTGTCCTGCTGATCCCACCAGCTGCAGTGCCCAGTCCTTGTGCTTTTACCGCATCTGGCCTTCCAAAGAAGCAGTCTCATGTGCCATGTGATCCCAAACGATCTGCACATCTGCCTCTGTGCAGCTCCTGTCTCCTCCTCCCCAGACATCCACCATCCACGTCCCGTGTCCTGAGTGGCACACATACATCCTGGCACTGCGCGGTGCACCGAGGAGGCAGCTTAGGTGGCCCAAGCCATTGCTCAATAAGGCCCTAATAAATGCCAGCAGTAACTGCTGAAAATGTGGCTCTTAAGCTGGGATGCATGTGAGACATTTCGACATTGTTTATCCCCAAGAAGCTTTCCCAGGAGAAACCCCAAAGAGCCCGGGAGGAGATGATACACGCCATGCTGTGCAGCAGCAGGAGGGCCTCCCTCGAGATGCACCAGCAAGAAAGGGATAGTGTTCTCAAAGACAAAATTACCAGACTTATTTTGAGCATATATCTTCCAAGAGTGCTGGCTGCTGGGAATCAGCTAGGAATGCACTGAAGCAATGTCACATAGTGTTTTACCTCAGGCACTGGGATCATTTTGGCTTTCGAGTCTTAACCTGATTGTGCTCTGTGCTCGGATACTTAATTCTCTCCTCCTTCCTCCTTCAGGTAACTCTTTTACCTTCAGGAACTGGTTTATATCCCATGAACAGGGATTATATTTTCTGTTAACAATGCCATTACCATTATTAAAACTGTTGCTTTCGTATGCCCGTGGGTCTTCTAAGGTTCTGCCTGGATTTGTCACACTGCAGTATACACTGGTTGGTAGTTTATCATTACTTACAGTTACAGCTTTATGCTACTTGTAGTACTCTTATCAATTGATTAGCAGTGAATGCTTGAAGCAGAAAGCTAAAAACCTGCCCAAGGTATCTTCTGCCTGAATAGACTATCCTGGCATTAGCATTAAGAGACCTTCCACAGCAGGACTATAATATGAAGCTGTGTGCCATGTCTGGGAGGGAAGACTCACTCCTACTTCCACTCTCCTCTGGTACCAAACAGTAAATTGTTCTAAGGCTGTAGGAAAACCCTTGTGTACTTAAATATGGGGTGTCGTAGAGGTGCAATGGGTTAAATGTTTATTACACAGCAGGGAAATCCAGGCTAGCTATATATGACTGCTCTAGCCCTGGATTCTCACAGAAAGAAAATTCATGGTAACTATTGTTCTGGAAGGGTGAAAGCCAGGAGATGGAGATTTTGTTCTTCCAAGGGCTCTGAGCACACAAAATGAAGGAACTCATGGAGATGTCAAGCAAGCAAGCTGTCATAATTTCCCCTGCCCATCACCTGAAACAAAACCCTGTCTATCTAAGTCAGTGTTTATGAATAGCAGGTTTTTCCCCAGACTATATTTAAACACCTTAAGCTTTCATGCTTCCAAGGAAATCTCTGCCAGGACAGCAGTGAGCACGGTTAACCCCCCAGATGCCCTAATTCCTGACTGGGCCCAGCCTGTGCATGTCCCTGGACAGTCCCAGAGCAGGTTACCAGCACAGCACCCAAAACAATTAAAAATGCTGATTGGCAACAACTGAGAAGGATTGTTTGCACACTGTGAATTAGGCAGGTTTGATTGTTTTGGGAAGTGGAGATTTTGACCTGAAACGCCACCACAAAACCAATTTGTCTGGACGCCAGGGCTGCTCAAGGTCACTTTTCTTTTAAGAGGTCCTATCTGAATGGTGTGTTAGCAGCATGCTATACCTGGAAAATTTCAGCAGCTGTGGAGAGCCTCCTTTCTCTTCCAGAGGCAAAAACTTGGTAATTAGTGTGGGTTTAGAAATGTAGCTCCTCCCCACAAGCAGAGTCACAATTGCCAGCACTTCCCAGGGAGAAGTCCAAGCCTAGAAGAAAAGCATTTAGCACAGGGCTGCCTCAGCTTGGGTATGCAGGAAGACTCAGCCCGGAGTCTCATCTTCATGTACTTGAAATCCTTATGCTGAAGAGATATAGCAATATAGGAAAATGGCAGGCGTGCAGTTAAGCCTGGGCATGTGTTTTTTGTCCAGAGACCAAATACTCTCACACCTGGAGGTCCATGCCCTGCAATGGGCTTGTAGAAAGCAAGTTTCAGCTCTGATTCTGAATTTGCTTTCTTCACCAGTCGGGGAGAAGCAGAGCAGATCCTAAAAGGAAAGAAGGAGACTCATCAAAATAAGGTGCCAATGAGACTGTTCAACTGAGACACAGACCCAGGTCCTGCCGTGACAGACTCAGGCCCAGTTTCCCAGGGCTAACCCAGGATGAACCAGATCAGATGAACCCTCCAGCATGGGGTGTGGCCTGTTTAGCCAAAATACCTACCGATTGGTGCAAGCGTTTGGATTTTAGCCTTCACTTGTTAAGGTATGGTGTAAACATGAGGCATAATACGGGGCTTTTCCCCAACTTACCTCTGGTTTTGAGCCAAAGAGAGGTTACCTAGCATGAACCTGGGGAGAAATGGCATTTTCTTCACCCAGGTCAGTGTGGTAGCTGGGGGCTCTTCTCTGAGAGGGGGAAGCTAAAGCTTCAAGTCCTCAACCCCTCTGACAAGGACTTCAGCCTTGGTCCTCTTTTAGCCAGTGTGAAACATGACTTTTGCTCTTTGCTTGCACACTTCTCCTCTGCATTGACTAATTTTATAGTGGGAGGGAAAGAGCATGCATAACACCAAGTTTTTGTAAACAGTTTATGGGTACATGCAACATCTAGAATTTCAGTTTGTATTCAGACCGATTCAGATCAGTCATTCGCATCCAACAAGGTGATCTAATCATTATATTTTTTTTGGCTAGTCCAGCTCTCCCATCTGCTGTACCTCTGCTGGAGCCGCTGTCTGCCGCAAAAATACAGCAAACAAAAGTAATGGGAAACTGGTGCGTTTTCCTTTATTGTTGATCATTTTTAATTGCATTTACAAAAAAAAAAAAAAATCCAACAAAAAAAACAAACCCAAACCCACCCCCTCACCTTTCTTTTTAAACTTGGGTGTTTTAACTCACTGTTTAATTGATAACAGCAAAGTTCAGTAAAAGGCAGACTTGTGTATACACCAAATCACCGAGAGGCAAAATAAAGCTGTGCCTTGGCTGTGGCTCAGTACGGCTGCCTTCCTCAGGATAGCCTTGTGCCATTTCACTGAGGGTTTTACCAGAGGAGGTAGATTCTGTTCCATTTTTTTTCCAGGCTTTCAAGGCCTTCATAAACCAAAATATCTTCTCTCTGATTTTTCCACCCAATCTTGAAACCAGTAAATACCTTACAAAATGCTCAACAGGCATCTAGCATAAGTAGTGCTAACACAACAGAGGAAAATGTAGTCTTGTGTTTAAGCGCATAAAGACTTTCATGGGTCTGGTGCTCCTTTGCAATATTTTATTTTTAATATCTTATTAAATAGTTAAAAGACACAGCAAGCAATTTTTCTGAAGAGTAGCTAACAGTTATAAGAACAAACTTTTGTTTCCTTTGTGTTTGGCAGCAGACAGCAAGCTCTGTTTTTGTGGGGGGCTTCCACCAAAATGTTCATCTCAGAGCGGTGAGCTGGGGTGTATTTTGAATGAGTTTCTTGCACACATGCATTCATCTGTGGTGGTTAAGCAAACATAACGCCAGAACAGTAAGGCCTTGTATACAAGCATGCCACGTGCCTTTTCACACACACACACCTCTTCATGGTAAGACGCAGAGACAGCTTTCACCTCTCAGCGCCTGCTTTGCTTTTCATGCACTCTGCCCAAACAGCCATTTGACAGCATGTGGCACAAGGCCAGGCAGGGCTGGGGACAAGGAACAAACACATGACCTTTGGGGAACAAACACACGGCATTTCCTTAGACTCCACGTGCACACTAAAGGAAACAAGGGCCAAGGAGCAGACCTGAGTGCGGGTCACTGATGAGCCGTACGGCACTGCAAGCTGTGCACTGTAGTTTTGTGGGTTTGGGGCTGTGCAAATTATCATGCTCTGAAGCAGAGCCAAGGTGTGCTTTGGGGGACAGCATGTGCCAGCCACCACTTCCCAACAAGCTGCACGGATAGGACTGTGCCAGGTGGGGGCCCCTCCATACTGCAGAGTCCTCCAGCAGCCATTGCCCTCATGGATGCCCTCCAGGTCCTCCTGCCACACCATCAGGCCAGCAACATACTCCCTCAATGTCATGCTAAAAAACCGACCAAAACAAACAAACAACAAAAAACCCCCATCCCACTCTGATGGGCAATGATACAGACCTCAGATAATTTCAGACTCTGAAATGCAAAAATGCATTTAAAAAAAAATACTGTTGTTTAAGGCTCAGGGGTACCACATGGGGCACCAAGGAAATCAAGGGGCACATACATGTCTGTGCCGCTGGCCTGAAAGATTAAACAGCAGTCCCTGGCCCTACTGTAAGTGTTGACACAACTGTGGATGACAGTTCTCATGGTAAAATGAGAGTCACGCCACCCTCCCAACCCACAGCTACCTCCTTCACTCTGTAACAGGGTTTAACAATCCCTCGGAAAAGTTATCCTCCACTGACTGTGGGTTATCCGAAAACCCTGTGGGGTTTTTGGCTCTTTCACATTTTAGTGGGCATTTCTGTTTTGCATTAGCAGCACTATGAATGCACCAAACGCCCCAGTTATCAATCTGTGGAGCATTTAGAGAGAGAGAGAGAGAGAGAGAGAGACAATTTTCTCAGCGTGGCTGAGCTGCCTCACTCACTTTGTGCTGCCAAGGGTCACAGGGGTTATGGATCACTCACTGCAGTCCATGAACAAAACAGGGATAACTTATTGCAGCAGCAGAACGTTTAAATTAGGTAGATGAGGTAAAACACTGTTCCTATTTACAATATGGACAATATGTAAATAAAATGCAATTACATAACAACATTGGTGGTCTTCTTCCTGACAAACCTGCTGTATTTCAGCAGAGGCCACCCTGAATATCTGCTCCTGAAGGCCAAGTCCTCCAGCTTCAGCTTGATATTGGGTTTGTGTCAAAAAAAAATCCCAGTCTGTTGTGGAGAACACCAGCGTTCCTGACTGAGTCCTTGAACCACTGCACCAGAAAACCCGCTATTGGCTGCTATTTTGGGGACTCCCCATGAGCTGTTCAGCCCCCAGCACCTTCCTCCAGCTCAGCCTTTTGTACCTCCTGTGTAATAGCATAATGCTGGAAGCCGTGAGCATAATTTGATGCCCCACGTGCCCCAGCACAGTGAGGCCATGGAGAGAGGCAGCACAATGGCATCACTCCTTGTCCACCCTCCCTGCTCCCACTGCCCGGCCGAGGCGAGCAGGGGTCAAACACAGACTGGCTGTGGGGCCAAGCGCTGGAGCCCGGGTGAATCAGGGTGCACCAGGCCACGGGATGTAGGAGCATGCAGCCTCTTCACAGTCATGCTGGAATCAGTTTTTGTTCTGTGCGAGCAGGTTATAGGAAGAGGTTTCTTTACAGGACCAGCCAGAGGAGGAGGAAAACAGTGCACAACATGTGCATGTGCCTGCACACAGCCACATGTGCTTGTAGGTGCATCCACCTGCACCATGGCATACTGCGCCAGGACACGCTGCTCTCCTACGCCAAGGTGACAGATCCTCCTGGTGGGAGTCTCTCTTCTGAGAGAGCCCCCTGCTGCCATCTCACTTCTCAACTCAGCATGGCTCACTGTATTTTTTCTTGCAGCCGGTATCTGGTTAGTTCTTATCATCTCATGGTCTGAATTTAGTTGTGCAGTTGCATTCCAGCTGTTAAGACTCCTCAGGTTTTCATGGTATTCCTTAGCTCAGTAAATGAGCATTGGACAAGGAATGTTGCTGAGGCTCATGCATTGCCATTGCTGGCAGCCACAGAAGCATTTAGTGGACGCAGGGTTCAGGCAATGAAGGCTTTTGTTAAGTGCTTTCCCTCTGAGTTTGAATACTGTCTGCATATACAAAAAAGGCAGAGTCCTGTTTCTCTTTTTCTGTCTAACTCTGGATTTCAGGTAAAATGAATCCTAGGTATCAAGTAAATGTCCAACACAGAAGAAATGTGTAAGATTTTCCTTGGAGAGCCCGTTGAATATGCTGTGTTTGGATTAAACAAGCCAGAAGCCAGTCCAAATCCTTCAGTGCTAGGAAGTCTGAAAACTTCTCTGACTTGTGTGGAGCTCTGTTTTGTGTTTGTCAGCATCCTTCCCCACCATCTTGTTAATATGGTGGAGGGCTATAAAGATGTTCTAAGCTCCTAGTTCAAAGCAAAGTCTCTCACTGCTCTCCAAAGCAAATGAAAACCAGGTGAGATTTTTCCAAATATTTTCCTCCAGCAAGAAGGTGTGACAAAAAATTTCCTTTTTTTTTTTTTTTTTTAATTTGTGATCTATTTTAGTATAGCACCTATTAAAAATACCTTGCCTATGATGTCAGGGACAGAAGACTGTAAACGGAAAAAATCTTATGGGTGTGAAAATACAATGGCTATGCACTCTGTTAGTGAGTTATGTTATCCTACACTCAAGTTACAAATGTAAGGAGCACCAGCTTATGTCTTGGTCATGATTATTAAATTAAATGTACCTGAGTCTATGGTAATTATTCCCCTTGAGTTTCTGGTATCAAAAACTTGTTTCAGTCTCTTGACATTTTAATGCATAAAGGCATTACCTGTATAAATCAATATTATTAATTTATGCAGAATTTTTCCTCCAGCCAACGCTCAGAAGAACCATACTCGTGCTTTGCAGCTGATATCCTCTCTCCTTGAAATGTAACTGCCCCCCTCATGGCAGTCTGGAGCAGTGTTTCTGTGCCAAACTCTTGCAGGGGAATGGAAAAAAGGAATAATTTCTAAATCAGCAAGGGGAATCGGCCAGACAGAATGCAGTTGTCCACGTTGCAGTTTGGCCGTTGTTCACAGATATACATGACTCTTTGGCCCGACTTCAAAGCTGAGCCCACCAATTCAGTGCAAATTCTAGTTGCTCAGCCTGTCTGAAAATCTGGACATTACTGAATGCAAATGGCCAGGACTTGGTTTGTAACAAAGCATTGAAAAGACACCGACAATGGGCTCAGGATTGAGGGGACAGGTGAGTACAAAGAACTATCACTATGACCACCACCATATTCTATAACAGCAGGGAGATCCTGGAGGGTCTCTGCTAACCAGGACCCTAATTTCTTAACAAGACCACAGTGTGAGGCTCTTGTGGTCTGAAAACTTAGGGGAAGGAGATTAAATAAACCCTTTTGAAAGCTAGGAACTTGAACAAGGCAAGATGAGAAATGTACAGGTTTCCTCAGTTTCCTGCAAATAATTAACACTGTGATGTGTTGTAATGTGACTGTGACATGTTATAACGTGACTGTAATGTGTTGCAATGTGACTATTGTAGCCTTCAGTGGGGAACAGTGCAAAAATCCAGCCTAGGGGTATCCAGCTCTAGAGTGGCTGGGGAAATTCCCAGTCCTGACACTTCTCCTCCGTTCTACTGCACTTTGGATTGCCTGGAGGAGCAGGTCTTTGTTATTGAGGATGTTGTATTTGCTCAGGTTCACGAGTTTGTCAAAATTTTCAGAGGAGTAGATTAGCCTAATGAGGTAATAGGGTGAGCAGGTGTTCTCCAGGTTTACTTTGCCTTCTTCCATCTCTGAGAGACAGCGCTTTACCCCTGCAGAGAAAGACAAAAGCCATCACAGTGAGCTGAATCTGGAGCACAAAACATGTGCTGTTGAAGGGGACTGATCTACTTAGCAGAATCCACTGTTAAAAACAGTGAAAGATCCAGGAAAGACTGCACACATCCCCAGCTTGAAAGAGCCATTCCTGGTCAGCTTTCCCAGCCGCTCCTGCTTCCCCCTCCTGCTGAAGCTCAGACCTGGAAATCCCTCAGCAGGGCTGGCAGGAATCGTTACCTTCCCCTCATCCTGCCCGTGCAGACAGTCATTCCTGGGCAGGGTGCCCCTGGGTCCACATCCTTTCCCAGACCCTGTAAGTCTGACTCTCAGATAAGCCACACACCTGGAACAACTTCCAAAATCCACGATCAAACCTCGATTAGCAGTGACAAGAGCATAGCTGCCAGCTAGAGCGAGTGGGCAACCTCGTATGTACAAGGCGGCCTTGTGACGATAACCACGCAGGATTGCCTGTTGCAGAGTGTGGAATTGCAGGGGGAACAGAGCACCCCACATCAGCCTCTCATCCTTCAGCTCCTTCAGCTCAGCCTCAGGCTAACCCAACCTCTTGGAGTTGCCAACATCCATCCTCCCTGTTAGGTCAATCTTTTTGCTTTAAAGGACACCCTACTTACCTCCACCAGGGTCTTCAGCAGCCTCACATTTATGACTCTATAAAATATTTAGTTACATTTTTTCTTCATTTTTTACCTATTTCCTTACAGTCTGAACCAAATATGCCTAAACCACAAATGTGTTGTGAAATGACCATCAGCAGGGCCACAGGCTGCTGAGATATTCCTTACGATGTCTACTAGAACCACATGAAAGCGACACATGGATTTTGCTTGAGAGTTTTCGTCAAACCTAGTGGTTTCTGGGCAGTGTGACCTCAGGGTGCTGGGCACAGGCTGTCACTAGAAGTGGCTGAATTAAAATTGTCCAAGTTTTGCTTCAGTGAGCCTCCCAATATTCAGAGCTGTATTATCTGTGCTATCCACATCCAGATACAGATGCATCTGCCTCAAGCCCACAAAAGCACAGTCCGTAGTTGCATAGTAAGTGGGTACTTCACAAGCTGATTCTCTTTCCTAGAGTTTACATCGTTAAAAGCAAGAAAAATAAGTACCTACATTCCACAAGGTGTCTCTCAGCCATCTAGAAATGAAAAGCTCCACTGTTAAACCTGAAATCCACTCAAGCAGGTTGCCAAGGTCCCTCCTCCCCCAACCACCCACATCAGTTGCTGGCTGTCAGCTTGATTGATGAATCACCAGCTGCTCAGAGACATGCAGGTGAGCACCACAGCTCACGAATTTGGGCCTGGAGCACTGAGAAGCTGCAGCAGCTGCTTTGTTCTGCATAATCTCATCAATCTTTCATTGAGAGAGAGAGAGAGACTCTAAACACTAATCTGTTTTACCTGCTAGCCCCTGCTCAATGGCTGTACTCACTACACATTGCCATTTGGACCATCTCCAGCCTCCACCCAAGAAGCCTCGTTCCCTCTAGTGGCTATTCCTCTGTTCATTCATAGAGTTTCAAAATGTGATTTTGTTGGTGCGACTCTTACTGAACATATTCTCTGAGCATTGGTGAACATCATGGCAGAAAAGGAGCTTTACTTAACCTGTTTTCCTGCTGTTCATAACCTTCCCCAAATGTGCCCTCAGAGGCATCCATTTTGCTGCAGTCCCAGCACCACAAGTTAATTTTGGGTAAAGCTGGAAGGAGAGAGTGAATGCTCTGTTTGCTGTGCTGAGAAGTAGTGCGGGAGAGCAGAAGTTCCCCATGGCCTGATAACTCAAAAGGTGGTGTGTGAGATACCTCAGGGTTTGTTGCTGTGTTCCAACACAGAGGAGGTTCTCAGGTCAAGGAAGTCAAACAGCAGAGGCACCAACAACATACCACCTGTCTGATTTTTGCAGAGTATCCCACAAGCTGTTGGGAAAACCTAGTCTATACTGAGGGTCTCTTGTTCTAACGTGGCCTTTGCTGCTTCATGCCTGCACTCATAGCCAACACCTGAGGGTCAGACCCCACTGCCCAGGGCCTGTGTATGTCCCCACAGCAAAGCCACGTCTGTCTTTGAATTCCCTGGAGAAAGGGAGGAAGGATTTGAGCTGTGTTACCTGGAAAACTTAGGGGCTTGCTGTCTGTTAATCATGTGCACAGGGCTGCCAAACTCACATGCAGAGCTCTTTAGCAGGACAAAGCCCTTCTCTGTGAGCTAATACAGGCTGTCCTTTGTGTACACCGCAGACTAACAGATTTTCTGGCAGCCCTTTCTATTCACTGTCTTTTAGTAAAAGAAGTCACCTCCCACAATACTTGTACCAAGGTAGGACAATCAGGAACTTTTCTGCTTCTTACCCTTATGCCAACTAAACACTGCATCCCATCCACCTCCTACTATTTATTTTTCTGAACATGTTCTCAACAGAATTACTCGACCCAGCTGTTAGCAGCCCTGTGCCCGTTCCTTCTGCTCTGACTCTTGGACCACAAACATCATTCTGATTATTGCTGGAGAGACTTGCTAATTTTCTCCATCTAGATGGTGGTTGGCACAAAGGCTTGAGAGTATGGGAGAAGCAACCAGTGCCCAGCAGAAGAGGCAAATATATGTGTGTGACCATGATGGGTAGGAGACAGGATGATCTCACGCACAAGAAGGCTGTGCCCTTGCTTAAAATTCTTGCTAGAGAGGACAAATAAGATCTGTGCTGTGGAAAGACAAATGGCCTAAACTCAACTAGAAAGTATAGTTTTGTTGACTCAACTTACCAGGCTCCTTGAATTCCTTAAAGGTGTCATTCACCAGGGGGAAATGGATTACTATGGGGGCTCTGGGGTCCTCTGCATCCAAAAACACATAACATTCCTTTGGGTTCTTCTCTTCTTCTTTACTTAGCTCCACTTTGGGGAATGGGATATTTTGTATCTTGCAATATTTGTATGTCATCTCTAATTGCTGTGGACACAGAATGTCATTGCTTTAAAGCTAACAGTAAGACAAGAATCAGGTTTACTGAGGTATCATAGCAATACAATGGCAACTTAATTCAGTCCCTAGAATTACTCTGCAATGAATGTGTAGTCCAAAGTAGCCCCAGTATAGCCCTACTTTCTGCCACCACCCACCTCAAGTCAGAAGATGCCTCTTATCACCCTATAATGTTTCTTACAGCTACAGGGAATGACCAAAAGCCACACTTACAATTTGTCATGAGGACAGACCAGGAAAGATCAAGGTCATGTCTCCAGCAACCAACTGTTACTGCAGCTCCCTGAGGATCCTAGCAAGTGTATGCTGCAATCCACTACAGAGAAGATCCTAACGGTTTCTAAGGTTCTGGTCTTGAAGGAATTTTCTTTCCCTCCTCCAAAATATGGCGACTGGTTTTTGAGTATATAATCAAGATTTAGACACTTTAAAGTTTTAATAACACAAGAAGAGTTTTACCAGGGCTGCAAGGAGCAGAGCATGTTAATCTTCTCACCTTGAACACATTCCCCAAACCATAATCGAGTGAGATAATAACATCTACATTCCTCTCTGGTTTGAAAAGTGCTGCACCGCTGGTGTTGATGAAATAGCCAACATCTATCAGGCAAAGATATTTCTGCAGCGGTGTCAGACTGTTAGGGAAAGAGTCCAGCACAGTGTCTGAAAAACATTTTGAATGTAGTTAGTGGTGCATTGGTAGGAAAGGAGGAGTCAGTAATTCTGTCTGTGCTACATTTAAGGGCAGCCCCTCGGTTTCCCTGCAGACCAGGCTCCCCTCCCTCCATGACGCGAGCCCACCGACGTGGCCGCGGGAGCCCACCCTCCGAACTGCACGTCTGAGCACCTGTTACCACACTCCCCATGGCACACTCACAAAGGCAGGCCGTGAGGCAGCCAGGCAGAGGACAGGCAAGACACACACTGCTCTGGGGAGTGATTTTTTCACAGAATATAGACTTTAGATTTTTTTTTTTCCCCCTAAGAACTGGGAAAAATCAAAAAAAAAAAACCACCCAGTTTCACACTGTAGAAACAAATCTAACAAATGCAGTACATCACTGCATTTTTGCATTGCTCTTTTTTTGATTTTTGCATTCTCAGGATTAGACTCCTCTCCTGACTTCAACCTGCTTTCAGTGATCTCCCTATAAATTATCTTAGCCATGCAGCAAAAAAATTCCACATCATGCACACAGCATAAAATATTGCTCCAATTAATTAAACTTCACAAAGGAGCCAAAAGGGGATTATACCAACTGTCGAGATCTAATGCCAGTTTCTGATAGATAACTCTTATTTCTCTGCTAGCAACCCCACCAGCCTGCCCTGTAGACAGCAAGTCCACTATTGTTCCCCTGGTACCATTTCCAGTCCCACAGAATAAGAAATATTTTGCCATGGTTTTAAATATCAAAATAGTGGTTTAAGAGTGTTCCTCAAGTTTCCAAAATGAGGTAGCAAAGCCCAGAGCAGAACCCTTGAGCCTTAAATCATTTGTGCTTAGGTATTTTAAAACTGTTGATCATAGAAATAGTGCAGGTAAGTTCCAGCATTTAACTTCTGATCTCTCTGCCTCCTTGGCCTCATTCTGTAGTGTTGATTTAAACCATGCGGAATAACTCTAGCTTGTTCCATAGCCTGGAATGTTTGACAGCAGCTTGAAGTAATAACTCATATTTTTTCCATTCCCTCACTGTCAGGTCTTTACAAAATTATTTGCTTATTTTAGTATTCATGGCTGCTGGGAATTCATAGATTCTGCTGTCATGAGAGACATTTGCTTGCAGTCCCTCACAGAAAAAAAAAAAAAAAAGAGCTTTTAGTTTTTTAGTTTTTAGTTTTACTTAGCCTGGCGAATATTTTTAGTTGAAATTCCATTGCCCCCATTTTCTTATCACAGAGGTGGAAGTGTGCAGCATTTACTCATGGCTGGGTATGTGAATTAGAAGTAGGCATTTCTTTGGGAGAGTCTTCTTCCATCCCACACCCAAAAAGGGACTTTAAAGAAGTCCTGTCTCAGGAATTCCCTTAAAAGCATGGATGCTACTGTGGATGCATTACACTATCTTCAGACTGCAAGTTCTCAAATTTCTCACATTGAAAATCAGGCTTCTCACATGACTAAGTCTTGTTTGAATGTGTCAGATAACCTGATCCGCGGGGAAGCCTTTAAAACACAGCTATATTTTGGACACTTCACCTACAACGAGACTATAATTTCTGCCCACAGAACTGGCATCTCCTCTTGCTCCTAGAGATGGAGCCATACCTTGGTTTTGCTTGGTCTCTTGCAGGCAGCCAGAAGAGGATACAAAATCTGCTAGCTTTTCCCACTCTAGACTTTCAGCCTCCCTTTTCCCACTCCTGACTTCATGCTTTCCACTTATTTTACTTTATTTGTAGAATATCTACCCTGAGGTAGTCTTTAGTATCCAGTGCTCTCTTCCTCCAAATCCTCCTTGAAATCTGCTTCTACCCATTTGCCTTTACAAAACTGCTAGCCAGCAAACGTAAGGAAAAAAATTTTTTTAACGTTTACTGACTGACAATTTTATCCTTCATCCACCTTCTTAAGATACTTTCTTGCTCCTTCTCTCACCCACCCTTCTTATGCTACTTGTTTTCTCATTCTCCCACTTGTTTTTTTTTTTAGAGCAGACTCTTTAAGGACACAGACTTTTGCTTACTGAACATTTTGAAAGCACTTAGCACACTGTGGGCTCGGCCTTAATCTACAAAACAGCTTCACCATCTCTTGCCATTGTCAGCAAACCATGTAGCAATGGCAGCCAGCCAGGGACAAAAATTGTCGTAACTTGCATGAAACAAGGGAGCGAAAACACAAGTTGCCAAAGAGAAGGACTCAGAGAACACGTATTTTCTTGATGAAGTCAGATTAACCTTAATAATGTGGGGTCCTCCCACACTGCTACCTGCTCATGGACTAAATGAGGACCCTGGGATTACAGAAAGGTTTGTGATGCACAAAACCTCAGTTCCATCATCTTGCTATCATTTTACAGATTGTTTTGTAGGTTTTGAGCTTAAACTATTTTGACTGTTTACTTTGCCTGCCTGCAGAGCACAGGCCATGGAAAAATGTTGTTCGATTCATACATCAAGTCTACACTTTCTGTTGTTGGATCTTGGTATTTCTGTTCCTGAAGGGTTAAAGAGAGCTGTCTGGTTGGATAAATCATCAGGCAGAAATACCACACATATGGGCAACCACATGCATGCAGCCAGTCCTTTCCTTCATCTGATCCACATAATAACCTGCTATTTTATGCTTCCGGTGTTACCCTTCTTTCTTGACCTCAAAAGATTCTGCCCTTTCTGGATCTTTTGATTACTTGTACCTATGCAGAGTGACAAACTTCCTGTAGAAGAGCATGCCTTGGCACAAATTACAGATATCTTCAGGAGGTGAAAGAGTGGCCTGTGGACTTGTTCATTTTAATCTGTTACCCTAAAGAAACAGACACCATAAACATAGTTCCATCTCAGCAGATTTCCAAACTCTGAGAAAGTATCTCTAAATGTGAGATTTCCAAAGTCTAAAAAAAAAAAATAATAAATCTGAGATGTTACCTGCACACTGCAGCTAACTCTTTGTTGCAGTTACCTTTCCATTCAATAAATTTTTTCTGATGGCTATAATCCTTATGAAATTCTAAGCCTCTCAGGAAATTATGAGACTTTCCCAGTAGTGGACGCTTGGTCATAATGTCCTGAAACATTTCATACAATTTCCCTGACAAACAAGATGGAGGCTCGATGGTAGTGACATCCTCCTCAGGTGAATGTTTTTCTGAAATAGAGAAGAAACTGTGAGAAAAACCATCAGCAATCTGTTCTGCCGGGCACCTTTACTGACTAGCTGCCCTTGCTGTCTTCCTGTGGGTCCCTCCTCTCCCTGTTTCTTGCAGTCTGCTTGAAAACATATGTACATGACCAATCCCATTTAAACAAAGAGATATTTGGTTTTGTTTAAAGCAAGCACAGCTTTTGTCTTCTACTCGTTCAAATGACACACTGGCTTTGTACTTTTGCTGCAAGTAAACGCCATCCTTCTCATTTGCAGTTATGGGAGGAGTCATTTAACAGACCATGAGCAAGTTTTAAATTGAAAACATTTGTAACTAGCATGAATTTTGCCTCTGGGTAGAAAATAAAATAAATAAAATAAAATAAAATAAAATAAAATAAAATAAAATAAAATAAAATAAAATAAAAAAAAAAAATAATCACATAGCGATCATTCTGAAACAGGTGAAAATCATGCTGGAAGATCCACAGTGAGGCAACACAAAGTGCAGCAGTTCAGGGAGGACATGTGAGAGATTATTCACAGACAGTAGCAATAATACATCTTTCTTTATCCTCTCCTGATTAGGGAGCACTGTCTGGTCAAAAACAAATTCTGGTTTTGAAACTTACCTATATCTACCATATCTTGGGCCCATCGTTCCCAGAATTCATTTGAATTTGAGGACCAGTACAAGCCATCGAGCAAATTCCTAGTAAAGATGTTTGTCCAAAGACCTGCGAGTCAAACCACATGGGAAAAACACGGCACCACCACACGTTAACTGATGCCTATTACAGGTGTCCATGCTGTATACTCCTGGCCCACACGAACTGACCCTGTCATGAACAGCTTACGCAGTCAGTCTCAAAGAGTTCAAACATAATGGTGTCAGTACTACAGTGCTCTTTCTCAAGAGGTAGCTACACACAGACCATTCACTGTACCGTACAGAGTAACAAAGTAAGAGGTGTTGGTCACCCCAACAGTGTTTTAGCGTGTTTACTGTGTACTTGGGAGAGAAAGCAGGCGTTGAAAGCATGGTGAAGCCATGTAAGCATAAGGCCCTTCCTTAAATGGATTTACTCTTTAAATTGTTCTAAGACCCATTTTTTCCTTTCAGGCATGTTTTGTTTCTGTGAGTTCATCTGGTCCAGGATCGAAATAGAATTGGCTCCATATGTGAGTCTGCTTTTGGAAAAAAAATAACTATCTTTTGTCATTAAGCCCCATGCCAGGTACTCACTAATTGAATCTCTAGCAGACTTCACAGTGAGAGAAATATGATTTTTGTCTCCATTGGACCCTTGGTTTTGGTATCAAAAGCTAAAATTCTGACTAGGGTTTAAAATCTTCCTGGGGCAGATGGATTCCTCTGACTAGCTGCTTTTCCACATTTCTTCGCCTTGAGAGGCAGAACCGCCAGTCAAAGCAGTTGTTGGGAGTTAAAAGGACTTCCTTTATCCTTATGGTCAGGGAAGATTACTGACACCATTCTCAACCCACAAAGCTCAGGTGGTTCTCACCTTTGTGGATTGTTCTACATGATTTATATTTTATTTTCAGCTCCCTCCAATTCTACCCCAGCAATGCATTGTCTAGGAATATAGCTGATGAAGTTGAAGAGTTGATGACTGGTCAGGGAAGAAAGGCTTATTGCTTCATCAACTTGCCTTCCCCACCTTCTTGTGTCGTTCAGAAAATGGAAGGGGAACCATGCTGTAACTTTCCCAGATCCGCCCAGGTTAAAAGGGAGGACAGGAGGAAAGAAGCTTTATGAAGAGCAGAAGTGTACAAAAGGGGTAAAAAGCCCATTGAATCAAGACCTAGAGGAGACCTGCTGGCAAGGATTGTTGTACACAGATCAGCGACTAGCTAGTACCATGCTTTCTACCATGCTGTGATTAATTATATTGTGCTGCTAGGTCACCTTCCAGATAGCAGATCCGAGATTCTGGCAGCTTCTTCACTCTCCTTCCCATGAAGAACTCACTGTCAAAATATTCTGAACGAATGGAGGCTCCGTATTTTGGTATGGCCACCTCATAAGGAGAGAACTCTGCCCACTCTACAAAAGAATTGACAGATGGCATGTTTAATTTAATAAAAATAAGGAAGAAAAACCTTCCTCTGTGGGTAAAGTTATCCACAAGCTCCATGGATCTTGCTTATCTCAGCAGCTCTGTACTATCAGTAGCTTTGGATTGCAAACGACACTGTCTATTTCTGTACAGACTTAGAGATGATCTGCATTCAAAAGGAACTAGCTTTTTCACCTCAGAAGGAGTCTAACATTAGCTTCGGAAGGCTGGATATATATTTCTATCTAAATATTCTGGGATCCCACTTGACTCTCTAAATCAAGAGCATCAAATGTACAATATGCAAGTGTGATCCAACCTGCAAGGAATGACTGGCATGAAACCTCTGCTAACCCAAACCTGTCAGTCTACATGATATAACAAGGCAGCCTAAAAACACATCATTACCTCCAAACTAGAAAGTATCACAGTGTAGGCATGGCTGTGCAGTTTCCTGACTCAAGCTGTCCCACACAGGTGTTGCAGTAGAACGGTAGCTATAAACCTAACCAAATGTAAGTGCTAACTGTGTTTTTTCTTTCCAGTACCTGCTCATTTTAATACCTTTTGTTGAATGTAGCCTGTATCCATTTTAAAAGGGTCTTATCACACCTATCATAGCAATCATACCCCATTTTCATACCCCCATCAGTGCAGTATTTAGGGAAGTGAGAATTACGTTTCACAGCACCTCTACAAACTAAGGAACCGTCAAGGCCTTTTTAGAGGTGTGGAACTGAGGCAGAAAAAGACCGTGCGATTTGCCCACACTCATTCACAATGTCTGTGGTAAAACTAGAACTTCAGCCCAGATCTTCAAAAATGCCCTGTATGTGCCTAAGGATATTATCCAAGCAGATCTGCTCTTTCTAATCAACACACAGCAGTTATCAAAAAAAGACAAACGTTTGATTAAAAGAGGAATGCTGAGTCAGGGCAAGCAACAGATGTATTCCCCTTTTATTCTCCACACACAGTGCACCCTTCTCCAAATTCTCTTAGTCCCTACTCGGAGTCAGAAGAAACTCTAGGAATACTTACCTCTAAATTTGAAAGTACTGAACTTTTCCTCTTTCACATTGAGGACTGCATAGAAAGGCAATGGGTTTTGTCCATGCTCCAATGCCCTGCGCTGGTCTGTGAGTTTGTACTTTCTTGGCTAATCAAAGAGATACAAAAATCACAGTAAACCTCTGGAAGAACATAAGGCAAAAACACGGACAGAATCTACCCAAGTACAGATAGAAAACAGATGTTTTACAACCCAGAGGAATCTGTGAGTCTCATTTTTGAGAGACCGCTTCCTTCATGTTCCTGCATTTTCCATCATGGTTGTCTCTTTGATACCTAGTAACCTCTTCATTAATATCTAAGTGCCTTGATTACCTGCATCCCACAGATCTTTACTAAGGCTGAGACTGATGGTTCACATGAAGACACTCTAGCTCTAAAGTGTCCAACTAGAAAGGGATTTTAAAAGACCTGACTTTTCAGGGGGGATTACACAATCCTTTCTGAAAATTTCCCTACTGAAGTTGCTGGCTGTTGGGAATCCTAGTACAGAGGCACCTTCAAACCATTAGCTACCCTGGAAAATCCTGGTTTCGAGATCCTCTGTCATTGTTTACAAATCAAACTGGGATGCCTCAGCCACTTTGGATTTGTTCCACACAGTTACGTCATGCCCTCAGAGAGTAAAGCTCTAAAGAACATGAGTGGATGTTCCGCAGGTGTGTGGCAGGACCATGTACATACCCGTTCATGTAAGAACATTTCCTGAACAAGTGACCACAGAGTTGTAAAAGATGACACGTGTCCTGCTTTTGCCCTTTCAGCGAGTTCCTTATGATAGTACTTCAGATGCTCTATAGACATAAGATTGAGTTTGCATTTTGTCACTTGTTCTTTTACTGCCTTAAGTGGCCCCTCCAGAGACTTCTGTGACCAGTCGGCGTGCTCATACAGGTCTGCTAGGGTCCTAAAGAACAGAAATGTGAGAAAATCATCCATTTATTTGCATGGGTTTGGAAAATTACTGTATTTACCCAACCATTTTCATCAAAGAAGAGAAGCAGCAAGCCTAAACTGAAGTTATGATCGAGAGCCAACAATAATAGCTTTACCAGGGAATTATGTTCACTTATCAACAATGTAAAACTTCAGAAGAGGTGCATCTCTGTCACTGTGTGGAAACACAGTGTCACATTCATTCCAAATATAAATCTCATTTTCTATACACACCATGTTGAGCCAGAAGCCCCGGTGAGATAGGTAACACAGTCCAAGAGATTTAGCTTCTGAAGAGCTAAGAGGTGGCCAAACATAGCTGACATTGCTCTGAGGCCTCCGCCTGTTGCCATAACAGCTATTACCGGGACCTGTTCAAAACATAAGTATTATCTTCAAAAAGTTACTCACTTGCCTACTTGGAAAAGCCTAATTACAGCTCATTTAATTTTCTCAGCAGACTTCACTGGAGGACAATTAAATTGATTCAACATTCAGCCAGACTTTACCAGTACCTTCTTTAAATTAACCTCCAGATACTCAGTGGGTTCCCTTAACACCAAAGCTTGGATGAGTTTGAATATGCAGTGTTTTATACTTTACTTCCTCCCCTTGTTCTTTATAATTGGAATTGCAATGATTAATAACAGATAATGATATTATTTTATTATAACTAACAAAAATTGCAATAAATGTAATTAAGACAGATTCAAGGAAGTCCTAAGCAGAGTTCATAAAAATATATTAAGCAAACAAAATTAATCTTTGGACAGCATCCATTCAACAAATTTAATTCCAGCAAGAAAATAAATGTTCACTTAAAAATTCACTCTGGATCTTGGCAACAAAACATATTTCAGATGGAGCTTGTCATAAAATGTTTTTTCTGCACTGGAAAGAATTTTGACTTTTTGTGAAGAGTGTTCTGAAAAAAAAAAAAAAGTAAGCCTAAAGAAGGGACAATACAGTGATTTCATAAATACTGATGTGAGGTGAATTTCAAATACTCTTGTTTCCTGCTTGGTTTGGGTTGTCTGGCTAGGCTGTGTCTAACACAACGTACCAGTGCCTCCTTGCTGGCCCACTGCATCACACTGTTGGAAACTCTGGCTTTGAAGAGTGGTATACTATGTCCTTGGGACTTTGACCCATTTAAAAGAATGGAGGCATGAATAGCTGAGCTGAATTTTTAGATGAGTATGGGGTATGCCACACTGAGAACTTCTGCTCTGCTGCCAATGGCTTTGTCATCAACATGCAAAAACTACTAGAAATTTTGTGGGGACTTGTGCCAATCCTAATTCAATAGACCCACGCCCCATGCTTGGAATCCAACTCACAGACCTCGTGTCCATGTAGATCCCTTTCCAGATGAAGAACCCTTTTCAGGGCACTGGCAACCACTCTCTTCCTTTTTTGCAGGAATTCTTGCTCTTCTCGGCACAGATCATACCCTAAGCGCACATCTAGTTTTTCTGTGCTGAAACATAAATAAATCCAGAGGTACAGGATTGGTGTTTAAAATGTATATAGATCTATTTTCAGCAACTGCAGTCTACTAAATAACATAAAAAAATCATGATTCATTGTTCAGTCTTAGAGACAGTAATGCTGCTCCCAGTTTCAAAGAAATCAACTGGTTTGCTTCTACATGGTCTCTATATTTTCTGATGTTTCAGTGTAAGGTTTGCTACAAACTAAGTATAGCAAATACGAAGGAAAAAAAAAAAGTTTTTTGTGTCAGTAGCTTTGTAAGGTGAATCCTTTCTATTTCTGCTTCATCTAATTTCTGAGCAAGGGGTGACTTGAACTTAACAAGGTCTTCCATGGGGTTTTGTACCATTAATTCATACAAACACAATACAGTGAAAAAGATATTCAGATAGTAAGCTATTGAGATGATTTTGGTTTATTTGTTGTCTGTCTCCTTATTTTACTGTGTAACATTTCATCTTCTCTAGCTTGTACTTCTTTCTATTGATATCACCCGAGCCACAAACCTATTTTCTTAAGAATACCTGTGTGGTTTGAATAATGTATGGACTCTGGATGTTTTGCTTATTTCACATCCCCTTTACCCTCTGACTTCTTCCCGCTTCTGTATCCCTTTTGAAGGAGCTTCCAATCTCAGTTTTTGGTTCTTTGACACAAAGGACACTCAGTGACTAAGTTCCTCACTGTTTGAAATTTTTTTTTTTTTTTTTTTTTTTTTTTTTTTTTTTGCATCTTGGTGTGACTCTTTTACCCCAAGGACATTTAACTTTGATCTGTTGTGGTGACTCTTTAATGACTTAACTATTGTTACATTTTGCCCCTAGTCTTGTGCATTCCTTGTATCTAAATAAAGGATACTCTGGTCTAGAATTCACAGTTCAAAGGGCAATAAAACCTTTAGAGAAAAAAAACAGTTCTCTTACCAATCATTTAGTTGGAGGTACAGCTGCAGTGGCACGTTCTGTAAACAAAGAAATGAGAGCACAATGTGGATGACTGGGAGAAAGAAAAGTTTTGAAATCCAGATTTTCAGAGCCTCCTGGAATGCCCCCACCACTACACCAATACCACCCTGTATACAGGTTTTTTTGGAAAACTGTAGTGGGATGGAGAATGAAAGCAACTACACACCAAAAGTTCTACAGAGAAGCAAAAGAGGCAGGAGTAGTCCAAGTGGCTAGATGAACGGGCTGTGAAACTAGAGTTCTGCCTCACTGTGAACACACCTCCACGAACCATTCTAACCCAGCAGCAGTATCACATTGCCACCCTCCTATTGTTGAGGACGGAGGACAGCAGCCAGATAAAGACAGTGATAAAGAGGAAACACAAGTCACGCATCCTTCCAAAAAGCTACTGGAGGTAAAGAAGAATCCCAACAGAGGGGTGGGGAATCACTCATAGTGAACAGCCATTCATTCTCCCTTCTCTTTACAGGAAAGGCTGATGAGAAATTCTTCTCCTCCTATCTTTGCCTCTTATTTGCTGCAAGGTCTGGGAAAGGACTTCTGGCTATCATTAAAAGATTAATCTGGCCACACAGCAGCATTACTACTGCTTTTAAAGCAACTTATAGTTGTATCTCTCCACCAGTTACCATCATGACTGTACACATAGAAGAATGTGACAGAATTGTTCTGTGAGGGTAAGATTCAACTCAGCTAATTGTAACCACCTAAAACTTAGGTATATAGACTGAGCTAGCCACCCAGGCTTGATAAAGAGCAGTGGGGCATCCCAAAGTCTTGCTAGGGGCATTGAACATTTCCTAACTGCGTAAAGACAGCAGAGGTTGGTCTGAAATGCGTCTAAAGCTGGCCAGGATGAATTCCCAGTTATTTATTTTATCAATGGAAAACTGATACTCCTCTGAGAAAACTAAGCTTTTTTTTTTCCACAGAAAATTGTATTTGCACAAAATTCTCCCCTCAGGCTTACTAATTGATTTTTTTGGATAAATGTTATGGTGTTAAACACTGAGGGTTATTCCACTCTTCTCTCCAGAAGATCATATAAATGCACTTACATGTCTTACAGGGAGGGTTACTTTCACTTTATGTCCAACAGGTAGAAATTTCAGTGGTACTGTTAAGGTGTCACTTAAATTGCTATTGTCATCTTCCTTATCAGAAACCTTCTACAGAGAAGAAAAAAAACGGTTTTTATTCACAGAATAGAAGCAATACGGTTTTTTACATTTTGGTGACACTGGAAATAATCAAGCAGTATGAACAGTGGTATTGTATAGTGCCCATTACCTGCAGCCTGACTTTTAGAACTGGCTCCCAAGACTTCACACAGTGGAAGTAGAAAGTATCTGTGTCCTCTGTAGTTTTCTGTGTTCCCTCATGAGATGCAGGCACCGTAAGCACGAGATTTTTACCCTCTAGCGAAAACAGATTTGTTTAGAGAATAATACTGCTGTTCAGGCAAAATAGCTCACAAAGTTGGCAAACTTTCTGTTGGAGCCATTCTCTGTGGTAACTCCTCTGTAAGCTGTCACACTGGCAAGTCTCCTACAGCACAGGAACTGGTACTCCTGCCTGTACCCCATAGTTTGGAGTGCTCCCAGAGTCAGCACTCTCTCATACTTCTGCAGTTTACTGTGTCCAAACTTGATAGTTTCAAGGAAAAGACACGGAGATCAGTGTTACAGCTGGAGGCAGTTTCAGGGACTTTCACTGCATTATATTTTATTGTCTTCAGAATATTTTCAGTCATCTCTGTATCCTAAAGTGCCTCCATCTGGGTCTGAATGACTATGATTTGGTCGTGTTCTTGCTCCACAGAGAAATCAGCATACCTTTCAAGTATTTCCTGCTTTCATTGATGTCCACTTGCACTTCCAAGCAGCAAACCTCACGGGACTGTAAAAGACAAGAGTGGAAAAGTATGAAGACAGCAAATGCCACATCTGCAGCAAATAAGGAAACACCATGCCGACACAACTTCCGATAACATAGAGCCAACTAAACTGGTCTCAGTGCTGGAAGCGATCCAGCTGCACGAAAGTCAATTCAGAGCTCATGATACCAGGGCAGCAGCCCAGTTACACTGCTTCAGAACTAGCTTGTCCACGCAGTGGTGCATTGCCAGAGGTTATTATACCCATTCGAGTTATCCCAAAATCAGGAAACTCTGTACAACAGAGCTGCCCAAACTGCTACACATATATCCGATCGTTATTTAGGAAGGGTGGAGGAAAACACCTGATGATGAGTTTCTGTCTATTGTGGCAGTGATTAGTCTACAAGGCATCTTCTTGTTGGTCCTCATGTAGGGAGATCGTGGATTTATTCCACCCTCCTCTCCAACTGAGTCATTCCAATTCACATTTAATAACTCATGCCAGAACAGTTTTCCAAACCATTTCAGGAACAACACATGCCAATCATTACAGCTCTTATGCCTCACACAGAAAATGAGGGGGAAAGAACAGAATATATGTTACTTTGCCTCAGGGGTATTCAACACTAGCATCTGGAAATCATATGCAGGCTTGGAGTGGTTGGCATGAAGTACTTTGTACTCCTTAGCTGCTGGGCCAGCCCAAGGAGATGGGTGATGTACTACATGCTGACTAATACCAAAAGAGCACTCTACGTTTCAATGACTAAAACAACTCTTTATTGAAAACCTCCTCTCCCAAAAAGTGTTACATTAGATAACACACTGAATACTTACTATTGCCTTCTACAGACTCATCCCTTTTATAACCTTTGTTTTTCCTGCCAAGTGCCATACTGTATTACATGAAACACAAGAAGTTTTCACTTTCAACACCAACAGATATGGAGTTCTGCAACATTAACAAACCACAGCTGGGCAAAATATTGACATCTGTAATATCTGAGGACTTCAAGAAACACAGCTTCTATTTTTGCATGGAGAGCGGCAACAGTTAAGCCATAACAAATGGGAATCATCCCACATCTTTCACTTTATAATGCACACCATGCTCTTATCTATCATGGTAGATTCTGTTCTCTCTATAAAATGTCAGATGGCTGGGGGGAAGAGGAGACAATCAAAATGACAGAAAAGTCACTCCAAGCTAAATTCATATGTGAACCTTACCACTAGGACATCATTGGTAATGAGGTGCTCCGGCGGGCCAGGACTGCCAAGACAGAATCAAAAAACAAATGAACAAAAGCTGTGTTTCTGGTATTTTATTTTTTAATAGTAGTTTTATGACCTTTCCTGCTTAAAATTGAATATAATTATGTTAGTAACACAATTTGTTTTCCAAAAGGCATAATACCTGATCACCTGTGCTAAGCACATGAACCAAAATGTAGTAACCAAACAAGAAGAAAGGCAGGAGAGCTCATAAAAATACCAGTGCTTAAAACTATATGCTAAGATACAGCAGAACAAAGACATATTGGTCTATGTGGAATCATGTCCTACTATTAAAAAAATGACCATATGACTTAGGGAAAGCAAAGACTACTATTAATGTATTCTGCAAATACTTATTAGGAAAGACATTTCTGACTGTTCCAGATTATAATTTACAACCAATCACAAATGAACGGCAAATAAGAATTAGTCTATGACTGGAAAACACAGACGTAAATAATAGAAAGTCTTTGTCCCAGACATTTTACCTTGTAAGACCTAGGTCTGTCACTGAGTGGATGTTGTTATTCAGTACTATGTGTAACCTATAGAGTCTACAAACAGCATCTCTCATTAAGGCTAATACTCCAACATCATTATGTGACACGCATCCATAAGTGCTTTCATACATCTGAAGGGACCATTAAAGTTATATAATATGTAATATTTGACTTTCTGCAAAGTCCAGGGTATTTTACCAAGCACCAATTCCAGCCTTAAAACTTCTTTTTCAGCTGTAGAATGTATTTAAATGTAAATAAGTAGGTTGGACTTCCAAGGACAGAGAATCCACCACTTGCCTTATAACGTGAATAGTGAAAAATGTTCCTCTTATTTCTAGTCTGAATCTACTCAGTCCAGTTTCCAAGCACTGCACCTCAGTCTGTCCTTTTTATACATCTGCCTGTGACTGCTTCCACGTTTGCAAGAGATGCTTATACCATCTATCAAAGTATCTCTCATAAATAAAGTGGATTTTCCTGAGTTTCACTGTGTGAGAAACTAACCGAGAAGACCAGTGACTTTTTTAATACATTTTCATGTGTAAGAATAAGAAGCCTTATTTAAAACAGTTCCTTCTTCTAATCATTCAGTTAGTCAGTTTTGACCGGACTGTGTTCCTAATTTTCATAATGCTAAGCTCAAATATGCCAGAACGTGTAGTTTAGGTGTTTTCTTTCAACCAAACTTGTGATAGCATTTAAAAGAGAAAGAAAGTTCATCTTGTGAGGTTTGTTCTTCTCCAGACAATGTTGATTACCACTTTGAGAGGGGTGGTCTTAAATTTGTGTGGGTTTTTTCTGTTTAACTAAGCTACCACCTAATGGGTGACTTTTCTAATATTGTCTGCATAACTCCATGCATATATCATGATAATAACGCAAGACAATTTTTTTTAGTCTTTCAGAAACACCACAGTGTTCTAGGCATTGTTCAATTAGCAGTAATATTAATAATGAAGAGCACGTCTGTTAAGTTTACATGCATCTCTTGTACATCTTGTCACATCATGCCAGTGTTACTACATTTCCACGATCAAGATATACACGTCAAACGGAAAGTAAGATTTATATGAAATACACTGAAAGGCAGAATTATCTGGGGAAGTTCAGCTGAAAAAAAGTTTGGAACTGTAATTTTGGCTCACTGCTGGGAGGAAGAGCTGGATGAGGTTCCTCTTTCTCTGAGATATTATTACTCCCTGGCAGATCTATACCTTTCAGCTTTGGAATTTTACTCACATTCTTTCCATCCAGAATTCCACTTCTAGACTTTCCCATTTCTTAATGCATCTCTCTGTCTAAAAAGAAAAGGGTAAAATAAATATGGATTCTTGGAGGCTGCAAAAATTTGGCAGTACAGACACACGTAAAAACCACTTCCATGGCTGAAATCTCTTCTGCTACTGTTACCAAAAAAGGTGTGTGTTACCTCTTTGCAAAGCTGAAATTGCAATGGAAACCACAGGCTTGCAAAACGCACGCAAGATTAATATCCTCCCTTTGTGGGATATGTAGAATTATACATATTTCCAAAGATGCAGTTACAGAGGGAAAGCTTGACTGAAACAGAAATGTAATGGCTTTTTGCAAAGATGGTGTGCACGGGGGGAAAGGATTGAAGCCCAGCAACAAATGCAGCTAACGCCTGAGTCATTTCCATGTACAAACCATGTAAAGCACATTCACACTGCACCCAGCTGACATGAAGTAGGCAAGAGTACCCTGGACTGAGGTGGTTATTGAATCGTTATATTTCCAGTGACTCACCCCCTGGCTGAGAAGTGCATGGCATCAGCCTGCAGAGTCACAGGCAAAATCCATGTTAACAGCTTTCAGTACTGGGGAAGCAGCTGTTCTTTTGGGTATGGACTGTCTCCTTCCGGCAATGAGCCACAGCTCAGACAAACCCGCAGGCCTATCCCAGCTTTGTTCTCTGGACAATTCTTTTTCATGGGCTCCTTAACAAAATACCAGTGATGTTAGTAGAACAGGCGTCCCTTTACTATGGGCTAGAGAAATCTGAATCACCTAGAAGGAAACCCAGCATGAATACCAACAGGAGAAGGCTGAAAGAATCATTTAATTCAAGTGGTGAGTGGACCGTCTTCATGTTTTTAATAAAAAGTTGACATTTAAGAGGAAACGTCCTCTAAGCATGGCAAAAGTAGAATAAAGCCGAAAGGTAAGGAAGTTATTTATTTGTATTATAAAAGATAAAAATTACTATTTCCAGCTGCTCCCTGTTAACATATTTTTCCCCCACAGGCACTGTGGGCATGAGAGAGAAGCTGCTTCATTTTCTGAATCTGTGAAAAGAGATTAACGAACTCACAAAAATCCAGAACAATGATACCTGTTTTGCTAATATATTGATAATGATATATACGGATATCTGTTTACGCAGATCCAAACCCCACTTAACATGGAAGCCAATGTGGACAATGAGGTCTTGCTGAGCTCTCCCTGTATTTTCAGTCCTTACCTCTGATTTCAAAGCAAATGTCTCACGGAGTGTCTCCCCGGGTCTGATTCTAGCAATGTTAAAAAGAACTGTGAACTGCATGTCATCTTTGGTGAGTGGATCTTCATCACACACTGCCAATTCTAAAACGTTCTGGTAGTAGAAGAAAATAAGTAAGAACTGTTATTGAGCTGCTATTGCACAGAAACAAAATAAATGGTTATAGACTTGTGCAGATGCTTGACTAGCACAGTGGTAAGAAGCATGTGCTCTCCTTCAAGAGTTTGTTAATGTGGAACACCATCTTTAAACCCAGCCTTGGGAAACTTATCATGAAATAGAAGACAACTACCTATAACAGAGAGCTCCCACTATCCTGAGACAGAAAAGATGTCAGTGCTTTGCACCACACTGACAACCTTCCCAAAGAACACACTCAGTTTCTTCATCCCCAAAGTCCTCTTAACTACATAGCTTGGGGTAGGATTAAATTTGTTGTCTACATCGCAGCAACTCCTCCACCCTTCCCTTACAACCAGTGGAGGGAAAGCTCTTCCTAAATTAACCATCCAAAATAGCCCAAATGAAGGATGCTACAGCAGTGCTTATTTCTCTCAGGTGACAACAAAGTGAATCTGAACTAGCTCAGATGTAGGCATTTGCATCACCAATGTCTATAACTAGCCGAGGGGAACACTACTGCCTATGTCTCCTATTTTATGCTAACCAGACAGTTGCAAATTCTGTTACATAATCATTTTCTTAAGTTATTTAGCACAGCTGATCAACAGAGTGTCAACTGAGGATTCCCAGCTATTCAAAATGGTGACATTTCCTTTTTTTTTTTTTTTTCAATACCTCAACTTCTCTCTGGATCCTAAAGTAGAAGGTCTCATTCCAGACAGGGTTGTCAGAATTCCTGATGGTTTTGGTCCGAAGCTTTCTATTTGAAGCAGAAGGCAGCCACAAGCGCACATAGCAGTCTGAAGCAGTCACTGCAGCAGAGAAAAATTAAACACCTGACGCCTATATTACAGAGGAAAAGCAGGGCAAGGCCATGATTCTGGGGGCTAACAAATATTACTACTTTCCTTAAATAAGTAAAGAGGCCACCAGTGGAAGCAACCAAGGAAAACCATCTAATTCCTGGGTAACTACAAACTGCAAACGTACACATGCACACACAAAGTACACTAAAAGCCATGTTTCCCATGTGAAGAGAAAGAGGTATAAAAGACCCCGCGGACCATTCATCGGGCACAATCCCTAAAATTCCAGTCAACAATGTTAAAAAAGTTTAACTGAAACTAGAACTAGTCCCAAAGAGTGCTGTTAGGACGATTACAGGAAAAGAGAATGCATATTACAGAGAAGACCAGAGGAGACTGGCTTGCTCAGTCCAGCAACACAGACATGCAGAGGGGACATGATGGCTGTCTAGAAGGGTTAGGTACTAGGGAAGAAAATCTGTTGCAGCTAAAGGCTGGTGGGTGCCCAAGACATGAAGGCACAAACAAGTCTGAACTCTTCATCTCACTTCCAGCCTACATCTATACTCCTTATGGTTAGTGCAGTCAGTGTCTCGAGCAGCTGTCCTTTGGGAAGAGCCGGGGTGGGAAAGTACATTTACTTTGTGAAGCTTGACAACGGTGTGAAAGGAAATCTCCAAGGTGATGTCTTTCAGAGCTGGAGTCTGGACTTGACGGAAGATGTCCACTGCACCCCGAGATGCCTAAATACTTCAGACTGGTATCAAGCAGTGAATAACATTGCCCCGCAAGGTTTTGGCAGGAAAGTGGAACTGTCCCTTCAATAGAGTAGATAGAAGAGATCATTGAAACTCAGAAATACAGGCCTTGTCACACTACCACCTTTCTAGTGTCCACCTCTGGACGTTGCTACATGGCATTTGCCACAGGAGTAGAGGAAGCCCTTCGGCAGGCAGTTGCTCAACCAACAGGAGATTGACTTCCTCGGGTCTCCCTCACACCCGAGCTTGGCCAAGGTTGTGCTCGGCCCTGAATGATAAGATGTGAATGGCCTCAGCTGTAACTCAAGTAACTCATTGCAAAGTGATGCTTTTTTGGCTGAACATGTTGGTTTTCATTAGAGGAATACACAGGTCAGAGGTTTCAAGAATGTGAGAAAAGGCAGATCAAGGTCTCTCCTGACTGAGGAACCCAAGGAGACCTCTGCAAAACTGGCAGGTGAATGGCTGGTCCACGGCACACCTTTACGAGCCATAAGGAGAGCGAGATAAAGAGTTAAAGAAGGTTGAATACAAAAGTAGACAGAAAAGTCTGTTTTGCCTGCATGTTCAGCATGTGCTTAGGGCTGGGTCTGCAGAGGCCCTCCTTAACCAGAAGCTATCAATATCATTTAACATGACCGGTCTTATGAGAACTGGAAATACCCTGAATGATACAGTATTTTAGAATGCTTGAAATTCTAATTTACCTTTGATTATTCTGTATGATTGATACATCGCAATGAAAGGTCCCTAAATACGTGGCCTGTTTGGCAAAAAATTCCAATCTATTATATGATTTATACCAATTATGAACATCAAAACCAAACAACTCCAAGCAGATTTAGAGACTGTAGTGTTCTCACAAGGTCCACCTTCCCTTGTGGCCCAGGAAATTCATCTGGGAGTCGGTTTTTACCAGTTCCCTGAAATGCCACTCTGTATGTCCTCCAATCTAATGATACCTCAGGCATTTGATCTAATTATACCCCTGGCGTTAGTACTTCTATTGTTGTGCTTTATGTACATCATTTGTATACCTTCAGAACTTAGGAACATTGCTCACTGTAAACTCTGGGAGTGACTGAAAATATAATCAAACCACAACTCACACAGGTCTCTTGACTTGATGTTCTTAGCTTGTATGATTCTTACAGAAAGCATGTGGATGGGGCAAAACTTCATCTGCAGAGAAAACAAATGCAATTAGTTTTATCAGCTCAGAATACAAAAATAATATGTATTTTGAACAGTACGGGGGACAGACTGTCCTTCTGTCGGTCTGAAGTGAGGGGACCACCCTCCAGTGGAAGACGGTAGCACAATTGCACACTGGGCTACTTACTAAGTAGCTTGAGTAAGTGAAGACAGAGAAACAGGGGCTCAGAAAATGGTATGGAAAGCTTTCATAGTCACCCTAGAGGTGCCTATTTTCATACAACCTGATGCATGCATGGCCATGGTGATGGTTGTACTGCCAATCTGCTGAGGGTCCCATGCCACAGGTAGGACAAAACTGGGCCTTTGGGAGGAAATACTAGGAACTTGCAGCTGGTCGCTTGGGTCCTGGACAGCAATGACACTGGGCCAGGACGTGGTACTTCCCAAAGTGCTCTAAACACTTCTGACTGTATCCCAACAAGGGCTAAATTTCCATGACGCTCCTAAGTAGGCCAAGCTCACCAAAAGGCATCTAGAGGAATGCACTACGGATGAAGAAAGAAGAGCCCTGCTTTGAAGACGTAATATCACAGCATCCCACATCATTAGGTGTCTTGGAAACACCTAATGGGAATGGAAACACTTCTCTTCCAGACATGAGATTTATTTCTATCATAGGCAAGCGATCATTGCAATGCTTATTTCAAGTGACTTGTTCCTGATTCTAACAAAGAATTAAGCTTCCCAACCTAAGCTGGTCAGAAAACATTTGTCATTGTCAGAAGACATTCTGATAAGCCTGAATGAACACACATATACAGACATGTGACATTGTTAATACTAAAAGTGGGAAAACATTTCCTTCTTTTTTTTTCAAATTGGAACATTTAGATTTATTTTTAATTTTCTGATGAGCATTTTAACTGTTTTTTTCATATTAGCATAGCTTGTCAGCAATAATTGGTGATAATAACATACAGTCCTGCTACCACTATTAAATTAAAACAGAACCACACCACGTTGGATGTGATTCATTAGGTTGAATGGCAGCTTAAACTACACACTGACCGAAACACCGTATCTATTTGTCCAAATGAGAGTATCCCATTAGACTCTAACAAAACAACTTCACAATTTTATTTTGGAAGTTAGCACCATGATTAATTTTCTTGACAATGAAATTATGAACTGTGGAGGTAGAAACAGCCAGGGAAGGAGGAACTTCTCTATGAAAGGAGTTGCCTCACTACAGTTAATCTGAAAGTCTTTTAAAATGGGGTGGACACTATTGGACATGTCTAATAGAGTTGAGAATAGCCTTCATTCAGCTTCATTCAGTTTTGTTTAGAAGTAAATTACGTTACGTCAAATGGGTGCCATTTGAACTGTGAATTAGCACATTCAAATAAACGCTTAATATTAAATTTTATTATGACACTTTTAAAGTTACATCTTTTTAAAATTCAGATTAATATTCAAGAGTCACCCTGAGCAGAGATACCTTGTTGTTAAACCTACAAAATCACAGATTACCCTGTCTCTTGTCTTCCTAATGGTTGTTTAAAACACTTCTTGTATAAAAATGCAAGACTCATTTGTTCTCATGTGACAGCATTTCTATTAGGTTTTCTTCAAATTTGAAACTCACATATAAAACATTCTGAGTTTAACGCATTATGGATGTTACAAGTTCCATTTGGGACACTTCTATACTATATTCCAGTTTCCCACTGAAAGAATTTGACTTTAATTTTCCTGTGCAAATAGTTGTTTAACATAGAAGTACCAACTGGAAGACTCAGTCAGCATTCCTAGTGGGTCTCATTAGCATGAAATATTGGATTATGTAGCAAATTACAGAGCTGACTGTTTTTAATTAATGTGTTAATTCTGTGTTATTTTGTAATCAACTTCCCCCTTGCTCAACAGAAGCCCAAACCATTCTGAGAGCCTGTCTTCACTGGAGAAACAGATGTTGGTATACAACTTGCTTTAAACCTTTTGTGATGAAAATTTCCTATTCGTTTATAAAAATGGTGCATCTGCAGTTTGTCACCAGAGTACTCTAAATCGTGGTAGCTGACATGTTTTCATCCTCTCCCACTAGAGCCAGAGAGCCTCACTCCTCCTCCCTCCCCCCTTCAACAGCAATCACTTCCCTTAAACATGTCAACATCTGCCTGCTGATGGAAACATCATCAAATATGACTGTTCACTGCTTCTGATTTGGAGCAGCTTAGCCCTTGTGTTGTTGCAGGGTAAAAGATAAACAGGTTCAGATGGGTAAATGTGGCCATAATAAACCCAATGGGCTGTGCAAATCCCCAGGGGAAGCCAGAAGCCATCCTGCTCCCATGACTGCAGTTACTCCAACCTGTGATAACCATTCAGAACTGGGCTAATTCTTTTTTTTCATGACAAAAAGGCAGAGCTAATTTTCTTCTACAACGGTCCAGGGCAGACTACTAGGGTCTGATTTGGGTGGTTAAAATAACATCTTTGCTCAAAAGTGCTGGCACTCTAGAATACCCTTCCAGAAAAATTAATTATGGTTAGAGATACCACTTGCTATTTTCATAAAAAGCAATGTGTAATTTCATAATTAATGCAAATGGATAAACACAGATACCACATCCAGACAGCTCTTGACAGTCCTGTAGCTGTACTGGTCTTGCTCTTTTTAGTTCAATTCCTTGAGAGGAACACAGTTTCCTGCATAGGCACACAGAGAATAACAAAATCCCCCTGTAAATACCCAGAGTCAAAGGCAGCTTTCCCAGAAGTGCATCATTCTATTTTTACTGGAAAATTAGTGACACATTGAGGGCAATGACAGAGTTCAGGATTCAGCTACCTGTGTATATTTGCATCCTAGACAATAACACTCCAAACCTATAAATAGTAGCATGTTCAGAGTCCCAAAGAGTAGTATGAAATCTTCTCAAAGCTCATTAATAATGAAGAGCCTGTCAAGTGAGTCTTTGGATGGGCAGTGAAAGAAGAAAAACCTACCGTCTTTCATTTTACTCCTTATTGTCCCTCCATGCCGCTCCTAGAACAAGATCTCATGGCTACCTGCACTAGAAAGTTAATCTCCTAGGGGTTAGTTTTTGCAGAGCCTGGCAACCTGGGAACCACCTCCCATCACCACCTTTTTTTTTTTTTTCCCCTTGAAAAAAAGAGTCCTTGGTTTGTACATGTTGGAAGGCTGACTTGAAACAGAATCTCAGCGTTTAGCTCCCTCTGCACCAAACCTAAGCAGTTCTCCAAGTGGAGTTATCACCATGGGTGATAACACAGAGTTACGTGAAGTCTGATATGAGGAGTTTGCTCTCTGTCTTTTGACATTCTGTAAATAGCTGTAGGATTTATCACTCAGCCTTATCAATATTTTTCAGATAGGAATAATTACTTCCATTCACAGATTACTTTTTCTTTCTCCAGTGGTGTACTAGAAGCTGTACAATAACTTATGTACAAGATCTTACACCAAATGTAATCATTTGGCATATTCTTACCATTTATCTTAATCTTGGATACTGAGGATTTGTTTCAACTACAATTTAGCAATTTATCAAATTAAGGTTAAAGCTATAAACGTGTAAACTATAAAAAAAGCCTCATGACCAGCCCGGTTCAAAGCATTCTCTTCCACATAAATTCTTTAACATCTAATACAGGATGAGTTTATTAGACCCTCCGTCACTGAAAATACTGCTAGAAATTTGTCCTTCCAACCAGCTGCCTATTTTCATTAAAATTAGAGGAATGCAAAGTTCTGGTGGGAAAAGCAACTGACTGAAGAAATACGCAGAACCAGAAGAGGGGATAGAAGGAGACAGCATGACCATGAAAGCCTCATTTTCACCGGGAATCAAAATTATCCAAAATCTTTTCATTGTGAGTTGGAAGTTGAGAATCTTGTCGTTGGAAGGTGGAAGTGAGTAAATCTCATTTGCCTTACAAACATTTACTGTAATTTCATGTTAGCACTGATGGATTGTTTCAAGAGTCGTTGTGGATTTGGGATGCAGCCCCTGTTCATATTCTATCAGTCATCTCTTTACATACATGAGTGGGTCTCTCAGGGCTCTGTATTGACAAAATTTCTGAGCATTTTACCACATGAAAATTATTCCGTAGTTCACAAAATAAGACTGCTAAAGAGTGGTTATTCTTGTCCGAGCAGAAGAAAAGACCCTGTTATGAATACCAAAAGCATTCCCAGGACGTTGTAAATTAATACTGTCCATCACTTCCATGCCAATTTGATAGCCTTTTTAAACAGAAAAAAATTAACGGGGAGACTTTTAGTTGGTCTTCCTAAATAGTTCAAAGTATCCACGCTTGTCTAAACAAGTTAGATTTTTTTAATATAAAAGGAAAAACAAACAAACAAAAAACCAAAAACACCAAACCACTCTTCTGATTTCCTTATCTTTTTACCAATGTACCCCACTCAAAGATGCATTTGCCTGACGGAACAGCAGAGCTACCTGCAGTACCGCACGAATCTCCTTCCTTGGGAATAAAAGCTTTCTGACCTGAAGCTATGCTTGTACTCCAAGCTTTTGGCACTGTTGCCGATTAACCTGGAGTATGTCTATACTTGTGGAATAGCAGTTGCAGCATTAGGAGGAAATGCAAGAACGTTCGCTGTAGTCAAGGCTTTCTAGATAAAATCATACCTAAGTTATCTACTCATCTATCAGATTCTGAATTATTTTATTAGATACAAAATTAATATTTAAAATTGATAGGTAATATTTATATCTAAGATAGGTAGCTCTGGATCTAACAGGCAGATAGATTAGATACAATTTTATCTAGAAGGTACATTTACAATTTATATTCTTTGCCCAGAGCATGCAACGTTTGAATATTTTTAATCTATTGAGCTGTTTAAGCTACTGATATTTTCCTGAATCTTTAACTTCACCTGCAAATATTCCCATGCCACAAGTATAGTAAGTATTCTTTATTCTTAATGATTAACAATTCTCTATATGTCGCTACAAAT